GGTCTACCGTCCACACTAATCCGTCACGAAAACGGAGCTTTTCGAAAACGCTCTTCAAACCGGAGGAATTTGAAAACACCGGCTCTGCGTTTTTAGTGTGGACGGAAAAATTTTGGAAACGGATCTTTTCGAACGATGCCACCATGATAATGATATGATTTCCCTGAGCGAGGTTTCCTCAAACATAAATCCAAATTGACCAGAGATTGTTGCGTTTTCAAATTTCTCCGGCGGAGTGTGGACGGAAAACATTTAATGCGTTTTCGGAGTCTAAACTCCGTTTGCAAATTTCTCCGACGTAGTTTGGGCGGGTCTTAGTGAAGAATCGAACAGCGCTAATAAACAGAGATAGGTTCGAATAAAGACATATTCATCATATTTACGGAAAGACTTTGGAATCTTTCGGAAGCGTCTTCGAACATGGTCGGGTCGTCTATTTAAGGATTAAAAGCAGTATACTGTAAACTCTCATGCCTTAGGTGTGAGTCACACTCCCAACTTTCGCCTATTACGTAACCAATTTTTCACGCTTTTGGCCGGGGACCGGGGAATCTTCGGACAGTCTTCGGAACTCTTCGGACGTTTTCGGGCGTGTTCGGGTCTTCTTCAAAAATCTCGGCACTTCGGGGTAAAAATCTCACTTCTTTGATTCGGAACAAGGTGACCGGTATAAAAATTAATATCATTTGATGAGCAAAGCCTCTGAGGAACACAAACATGACCAGTGTCATACCTAAATTATTTACCTTCATTTTTAAACACACAGAGATACAAATAGCAGAGTTATTGTTTTGGACTTGACAGATCCTCGCAGTTTCCATAGACACCGTCATTGATTTATTAAAAAGGGCTATGTCGCAATAGTTTGTAATAAAGCTAAAAGGGTGGGATTAAGGAAAATTGACACGGATTCTAAAAGCGGCCTTGAAAAATTTAGGCTAAATTTTTCAAGCTACATTATCCGACAAAATGCATTTTTAAAATCTTCTATCCCGGCGAAATTCAGTGTAGTAGAACATTTTCACTCACGTGACCAGCACACATGCAACTTTATTGGAACAAAAGAAATTGTTGACATAAGAAAAGAGTTCAACTCGCATAAGATTGGTTTAGTTCACCAACATGGCCACCGTTTCATTGTTTTGGAACACCATTAGAACAATCTTTGTTTAACATATTTGCCTCATTGGCATAAGCGATACAGTTCCTGATTGAGTTACAAAAACATTAGCTCTCAATATTGAAAGGGCACAGCACGATTAACAGTCCCAAGGAATTTGAGTCCGATGTATTGAATAGTTTTCGTGTGACGCGAGCTTAGAAACTCAAAATTTTACAAAGAATGTTAGAGCTCATTAGTACTTTTGCCACCCAGAAATTTTGCAGTTTTTAAAAGCCAATTTCTCCGCGAATATTACACCCAAAAATCCAAACATCTCACCAATAACTATTTTTCACAAGCTCTTTAAATATTTCTAGTCAGTTGGTGTCTAGCGTAATGGCTTCTATGCGCAAAGTAGTATGTTTATGAGGAAAAATGTCAACAATGACGTCAGCCGTGACGTCATGTGAAAACGATTTTTAATTAGGAGTTCCAATTGGGCGCCAAACAGTACAACGGGTTCTTTATGAAAATAATCATTTAATTCGCCCGAGAAAACGCTATTTTGGATAACTGAAAGTAAGTTGCTACCATGGGAAACTCTTAATCATCATGATGGTTTAAATGCTGAAGATCCCCAGTGCGCATTCTCCGCTGTAAGATGGCCTCCTTGGAAACAGTTTTTAAGTCATATGCCAGACCGACCAACGCGCATGCGTCAATAATCCACTTAGAAACGTTGCACAGGGCACCCAGCTCGGCCGCAGCGTAGTCCTGTGGAAATGCGTGGTGGTAGTTATGGTAACCCTCGCCGACCGTTGCTAGGATTGCAATGGCGTTCTCCGATGGACTAATAGTCTCGTCATAAGGTTTGTCTCCGTACATATGGGCAAAGCTGTTCACTGACCATGCAGCGTTGAGGATGAAAGCGTAACGGAATGCGAAGCTTATGAAAAATGCGTTCGAGAAGGTTTCATTCCAAAAGTACCACGGTATGCAGGTGGGGATTACAATATTAAAGAGTATGCTGAGAAGCTTGTAGTGTCTGGAATAAAAATACAACTGAAATATTACTATTTTTTTATGTTTATTTATATATGTTTCGCATTTACTTTGTTGGCTCTACTTTAATTGTCTATTTTTCCAATTCCCCTTAATTCACTCTGTTTGCCACCCAAATTTTGCATTTGCTGTTAATGTGAAATGCTCTACGCAGATCTCCCAAGAGCATTTAAAAATAATAGTAGTTTATGGAAAATTTGGGGGGCAAACAGAATGTATTATGGGGCATGATATTTTATTTAATAAGTTAGTGGCAGGTTCCCACCCGAGAGGGGCGGGGGCGCGCGGGAGGGAGGGGGGGAGACTCCCGCGTGAAGTAGGGGATGCTCGTTGGAAACAATGAATTATATGTCTAAAAGTGAGAACAATCTAGGCGTGGCTCGAGATTTATTTTGCCCCTAAAGGAAATCAGTTTTAAATGGACAATAAGAGCGTTTAGGCCTGTCCCGATTGCGTTCGTAAAATGCCGGAAAGTTGCTCAATGGAATGCCAAAAAGTTGCTAGAAAATTGCCAAAAATCCAAAAAGTTGGTACCTAAATTTCAAAAGCTGCTTCCTAAATTTCTTGATATTTTTGTATAAACGTCAATTAAAAGCTATATTTTTCGTTCTTCATTGATCATCGGTCAAAAAAAAAAAAATCTTGAAACTTCGTTTTAAAGAGTTGCTCGCAAATGTGGGCGAAATTTACGGTCACTCTTAAGTCTAACGGAACAAAGCACATGCATGGTTCATTTGACGTCTTGCCAAGTGAGAGCTTATGTGTTCAAACTTCAAAGAGTTGACAAACATTCAGGAAATTCGCATAAATTAAAGCTTTCTATGAAATCGTTGACTTTTTCGTGCTTGATATGTGCTCTTAACCTATATTTTGCTCAAAAAGTTTCTCAGAAAGGCAGAACTTGCTCGAGGTTGCTAGAACGGCAAGAAGTTGCTTCAAACGCCGAACGTTGCTCAAAAGTTGTCGAGCCAAATCGGGACAGGCCTTACAGCCTTTTTCTTGTTTCTTGGAGTGCAACATCTAAAGATACCTGAACACCCGAAGCGAGACCAAATTAAATTTCGTGATTTACACCCCTAAGCGAGACGAGCATCCCCGACCGTTTCACATAGGAGTCCCCCAGCGGGGCTCCCATCAGCTCATGAGCTGCCCATTTTAATCTGCTACATTATCAAATATAGGACCATGCACGTGTGTATTATATAAGTGCAAGTAAAAGGACTGGATCGCGCTATTTTAGTTGATTCACTTACAAACAAAATGATCGAATGATAATTAGTGTTTACAAACTGTAAAAAGACTATAATAACGTACACGGGAGGATACAAGAAAAACGGTGAATATGTCCCCGCTCAGTTTGTGTCATGCCCTTTGGAGGAAGCGGGAGGGGGAGGTAGAGGGGAGAGTACGGAGGGAGGGAGGGAGGGTTCAAAAGCATTCAAGGGTGGCGAGGTTTGTTTAAGTTGCGTAAGTTTGGAATTTAGAAATATAAGACCATATAAAGCTCGCCTTCCCTTTTAACGGATTTTATTAGACTTATTACGGCTCAGGGTTATGAAGCTTAATCCTACTCAGAGCTTATTTTATAGCAACTATTTTCGTGTGAAATCATGCGCGATTAAAACAGGGAGTTGTTCACAATCAAGCTTACCTTCGCTGAAACATGACGATTTTATCCTCGTACAAATCACTCAGGTCCAGTTGTTTTCCCTTCTTTATGACATCGGGGTGTTTTTTCATCATTAACCACCCAACGTGTGAGAAGAAGAACCCTCTCTTTGCGTTGTGCGGGTCCGCGTCCGTCTCAGAATACTTGTGGTGAACGCGGTGGTCTCTCGCCCATTCAAAGATGTCGTTCTGTGCAGCGAAGCAATTCATAACCATGAGGTATACTTTCAGGGGCCAAGTAGCCTTGTACGTGCGGTGAGTCCATAGCCTGTGAGCACCAACGGTGACACCCATACCTCCCCAGAGAAACAGCAGCACACTCCAGAACCAAGTCCATGGGTTTGCCGAGGGTATAAGGTAGAAACCGTACAGCGCCAATAGATGGAGCGCTGTGATCAAGTAGACATTTAGCCAAACGATCTGTTGCGGTGGGCGCGGGGTTTCTCGATCACTCGTTTCTGGTACAGAGTGGGTAGTCTCCGATTCAACAGCTGTGGACCTCCGCGGAGCCATGATTCTACGGATATCACGAGAGTTAAATAGGATTATAAATTTTAATTGCGCGGCAAAATATTCAAGCTATATAACAAAATGGATGAGAAATGAGCATATTAAGTGCCCCTGGGAAAAAAAAACGAATTACAATATCGTCTAGCAATTATACATACATGAAAAGATCCGCCAATAAAAAGCAAACACTTGTAAGTGGTTCTCAACGGGCGAAGCATGACATTTGCAATCCTAAGTGAGCTTACATCCTGACAAGAAACTTAAAATTCTGGAGTTAAGAGACTACTCTATCCCATTTCGCCTTAATGGGATCCTAAAAGTGTTTTATTTAGGCGCAATTCCAGTTTCTCTTCTTCGTTAGTGGTGCGTTACAAGTCACGTGTGCAATTCAGTTATTTTTTTTTCTTTCCCAAAGCAAAATAAATATTTGGATTATTTCACGCCCGAGTGACACGCAAGGTTATGGCCGATTTAGAATAATTAGAAATGGCCAGTTGAGGTTATTCGAAAAGATCTAGCACAGTTGGATAGGATGGCCTAGACAGATTAGCAACTGCATGGCGGAAACGGTACAATAAATACACGTGAATGTAAATGATCAAGTCTGAATGTAAATGGTTCTGCTTCTATTTGAAATGCGGCTAGGAGGTAGTAGAACTAGCAAAAGTAAACAAAAACCGGTATAGTCTCCAAAGTCAAACCGAGAAAGTTAATAGGTGAAGACATGATTGATCATCGCAGTTATGTACACCACTTAAGCAGTTGTGAAATTAAAGCGAACTCACAACATGATCAGCTCCCAGTTGGCTTGATAGCTCAGTTGGTAGAGCACTGCAGCGGTATCGCAGAGGTCATGGGTTCGAATCCCGTTCAAGCCTGAAGTTTTTCAGGCTTTAATTCTATAATTTACTAACTGCGATGATCGAGCATGTCTCCATATCTTTCTCCGCAGTTCAAATATATGATCTTTCATATATTCACTTGCAAGTTAAAAAGTCTGAAATAGCTTAGTGTAATGTGAAATGGTTTACCAGTGCGATACGGCAAATGATCAAGCGAACTATGCAATGTCTGTATTGGTTTAATGGCTTGAAGCCAAACATAAATCGTGACGAAAAATGGTTTAGTATCAAGTTAAAGGGCTTACCGTTTAGGTTATGAAATGGTTCAGGCAGAAACCACTGAAATGGTTTTCCGTAACGTGAATTGGTGCAACCAGTTTAGCGAGCTAACCGTGACGTGAAACGGTTTAACGTGACTAATAAATGGTTTTGCGTAATGGGAAATGGTTTAGTGTTACAACAAATGATTTCGCGCCGGATCCGCCCAAAATAAAAGCAAAATATATGCAATCTCATTAAGTGTCTATGAGGGGGAGGGACGAGGGGGGTGGAGGAGAGGGGGAATGACGTCATGATTAAAATATGGCGCGAAAATACATCACGTGCGCAGTCTTCCTTTCGGTATGAAGTTTGCTTTTCGCTGTTTTTATTTAAAGTCTATATCGTATTCAGTAGGATAAACTGTAATGCAAGGAACTCTTGTACAAACAGCAGCGGAGTGAAGCCGGATCTTGGTTTAGATCAGGATCAGCAGCGTAAAAAGCATCAAAGCCGACCTTTTCAGACGTCCGGTTAGCATTTCAATTAGTTTTATTGCATGCTATATCATATTCTAGTGCCCAGTTTTTTACATCTTCACCGAGGGTATTTTTCGCGATATATATGATGCACGTAACATTGCAGAGAATACGCTTTGTTACGCTTCAGTTGTTTGAAGTCTGCCAGGCTGATCATTCGACGTATAAATCACTCAAGGACTCGGTTCGCACTCTACTCTATTTTTCCCAATCCCATTCTTTTCTGCGCTCTGGTTCAACCCCTACATAATGCGGAGAAGGGCGAGTCGGCAGGGAATGTACCAGCTAAGCAGTAAGAGTTCCAATAAAGCCGCTCAACCGCGTGGCCATATAAAAGACTGTTACCGTGTTCAAGAAATTTCTTCATCTTTGTACAAACGGATGACAACGTAAAACGTAACATTAACTAAAACATGACGTCAAAGAACCACTTATGATTGGTGACACCAGTGTGCAAGAATGTAAGCTTCTGGTGACCCCATTTTATGTTGATACACTGTATAAATCATAGTTCATAGAAGGGAATGGTTACGAAAGCCCTGAAAACTTCAAAGGAGAAAAGCTGAAAGATGCCAAAATTGGTGCTAGGTGGTCCGAAACTGTGCAATGCCCGTTTTTCTTTGCCCTCATAGACCTAACACGCTATCCGAAAATTTTCTATTGGTTAGTTCCTCAGACAGATTAAAACACCTTTTGTTTTGTACAGGGTCAAGACTGAAAAAGAGAACACAAAACATAAACAAAGAACTTTGTCAGACTCCATAACCTGATTTCCTTCTACTGACTCTGATTAATTAATTAATTAACTAATTAATTAATCAATTTTAAGTTTTCTGTCCATTTTTGTGTGAAACTAACACTTGTGAGAGAACAGCTCTGTTAAGTGGACACTGACACTGGCATCTGCTCATACAGGTTCCACTTTAATTAGAGACTACTCCTCTAAAATTTTGAAAAATTAAAGTGGCTCTGAATGCATCTTATCCTGCTAATCAAAAATTGATAATAAAAAAAATGGGTTTCACCATGCCATTTTCGAGATATAGCTATAAGTAATTAACTGTAAAATTAAGGTTATTTTAAGCAGGTCATTCTGTTGCTATGGTAACCTATTTTGTCACAAAAATGATAACAACATATTCACCAATGATTGGGCAGTTTTTTTTATACCACAATTGTACCATCAAGTGATAAAGATTGGTTAAGTAATGACCATCAAAATCTACATCTAAGTCTTGAAAAGTGCTGGAAACTGTTTAGAGCCACCTTAATGCGGTAAGCTTAATTAATCTTTCTTATAAGTAATTATTTTTAATTGTTTGATTACTTACAATTTTTCTTATGTCTCACTGATTTGGACATCATAATGAAAAATTTAAAGCAAATTTCTCACCGACTTCTAAGTGCATCAGGGACTTAGCACTGGACACTATAACCATAAACAGCTCAGTGAGGAAGTTATTCAAGTAGAGTAGAGTAGAGTATTAACAATTTCTCCTTTTGTCATCAATGCTTTTATGCTTTTTTGATTGAAATCAAGAATAAATAACACTAACATGATGAACAAATATCAAATGTTTTGGTTTGCAAACAAATTCCTGATCAGTGTATGAAAAGGAGTATGAAAAATATGTATGTGATATTTGGGCAAGGGTTGCCATTTGAAATTATCATGACAATCAAATGCATCAAATCAATCAATTAACTTTATTTACAAACTGTAATATTTATTGCTTTCACAGCTTGTGGGGCTTAAATGGCCATCATTACCACCAAAATAATATTATATACAGCTATAAATACAGCCTACCAGGTTTTGAGACAATTATATACCACAACTTCTTAACATTTCTATAAATAATAGCCAAGAGCTACCATTTTTTACGTCATACACAAAGAGGTTTTGTGGCAGATGTCATATGGACTAACAAACTGCAATAAATTTGAACCAAAAAGCTGTTTTCCATTAAGTCAGCCATGGCAATTCAATAAATGAATCAGTATTTTATCCAAGCTTACAGTTTTCTGCATCTGTTTTCTTCTGGGTGACAATTCTGATTAACCCTGGTTTAATTAATGTGAGATGAGCAAATTCTGCCTGGATTGTGCGGTTCCAGAAAATGTCCACGCCCACCCTGAGGAGGTCTAGTGGAAATTCCAAATGGGAGGGGAGACTCAAAAGCCAATTTCCTTAAAGGAAAGTATGAACCAAAACTGGAATTTCCAGGGGGATGGGGGGAGGGTGGAGGTTTAAAACCAAAAAATCTCTGAGGGATGGGTATGGATATTTTCTGGAACATAACACAAACAAATTAGGCAGGATCATAAGATTAATTTATTTTTGTCAACTGCAAAATTAGAGCTGATAATTAAATCAAATATGCAAAAAAGGCTCAAAAGTTGGGACAATTCTATGGAGCTGCTCAATCATTGTCACAGACGGGCACTATGGGCTAATAGTATCTCTCTGAGGATGAGCACTATCGCATCACGTGATCGATTTAAACCAATAAGAATAGGAAAAAATTTAGTGGTGAACTATAATAATATTATAATTAGTCCCATTTAACTAGCAATTTTTATGCAAAATGTACTATGAACTAATAAATTTCCAATTTTTAAAATCATTCTAGTCTCAATGTTCGAGCAAGGTTCTCAGCTTCTAATTGCAGGTCATGGATCAGTTATTATTTGTCAGTGCCTAAACTGGGGTCTTAATAAGACGACAAAACCAATGTTGTGTGATTGCTAAGTGTTATTAGTTAAAGTTATTTGACTCTGGGTGGAACCTATGTAATGAACAATTATGTTCTCTGGTGGTCTAGTCATCACGGTGTTTCAGATGTTGCAAGTCACCAGTGCGTATTCTTCGCTTTCTGATTGCCTCCTTTGAAATAGTTTTCAAGTCATAAGCCAGTCCAAACAGTGCACAGAGGTCAATGAACCACTTAGATGGGTTCATTGGTGAGCCTAACTCACTCGTGGCATAGTCCTGAGGAAAAGTGTGATGAAAGTTGTGAAAGCCTTCCCCACCAGTTGCTATGACAACAGAGAAGTTTTGTGAAGGATTAATGTGCTCATCATAAGGCTTTGCTCCCCAAAGGTGGGCAAAACTGTTTACACACCAAGTTGCGTTAAGGGTGAAGGTGTAACGGAATGCATAGCAAATGAAGAATCCATTCCAGATACTTTCATTCCAGAAGTACCAAGGTACTGCAATTGGTATAATGACATTGCAAATTGTGCTGAGAAGCTTGTAATGCCTGGGATAAATAATAATGAGCAGATGTTAATATCTGAGTTATATGTACTACCTAAAAGATTTATTGTGTAAATTCTCATTGCAATTTCATGACAGTGTTAACCAGGTAGGTGGTGAGAATAAGGGAAATAATCAACTACTGTTAGAGTCTTGATGATGGTATGAGATTAAATATAACTTTTTTTCAGTCAAACTAAAAATTTTACATAGGAAGAGGTGTGGTCGAGTGAAATATCTACAGGATGGTAGGGGGGGGGGGCTTGAAACGGGGACTTGAAGGGGGCCCCAGAGGGGTGTTGGGGATGGGAGGAGGTGAAAAAGCCTGACCATGAGTTTATGTGGTTGAGTTAAATGAACATATCCCCATCTCTTTTCAGACCACACACTTTTGAAAATGATCATGTATTTTTTTTGGAGCAAGAAGGTTCCTTCCCAAGTGAACAGGGTATCCTGAGGGTACTTTTAATTTGGGGCATTTTAATTAAATAAATAAATAAATAAATAAATATA